TGACATCTAGTTTGCTATCTTTTGCTTTTAGGTCTTTGGCAGTCTCTTTTCATCCTTAACAGTTTATTTGATTTCAATCCTACCAATGAGGTTCAAGACTCCAAAGCGATTCTGGATGTTCTCCTTAAAAATGGTGGGTATATGTTCAAGATCATATTGTGGAAACTGGTTGGCATTATTCTTCTGCTTTCGCTTATCTGGAATGTGCACATGAATGCTTCATGATCTATTTCACAGTCATCTCTTGGCCATATCTCTGCTGTTATAACAGAGCTCTTCTACCTCTTGCACCAATTATATAGTCAATTTGATTGCTGTATATTTGTCCATGTATATAGGTATTGTTTTGGTTGCTTGAAGATTGTGTAAGCAATTCCCTGAAACCTAAAACATCAATGTGTAATTCAATTACATTCCATGTTCTCACTACAATCCAACCTGAGGGACGCATCATCTGTCATATCATCATTTTATCTTGTCTATCCATCTGGTTTTCTTAGTAAAATACAGGAGTGGTTTACTATTGCCTTCTCCTACACAGTATGAAATGATATCTGTGCCATTGATCATGTGCCATTGATCATCTGCCTCCAGCATCTTCCTATCCTGCTTCTGCCTGTTTAGCTGGGCAGCTGGAATGACCTTCATGCCTTGAAGGTCTATTTTACACACATGCATATAATTTTATTATATTAGAATACATTTATTATTAGCTACCTGATCCTTCAAAAAGCATAGTCAGAAATTTGGATACAATGAAACTTGACTCTCTAACTATTCAGTATCAAAAAGAATACTTCATCCTCTCCCCCTTTCTACCATACCTAACAGCTTAGTGGTCCAACCATATAAAAACACCCTCCATCTGCAAATAATATTATTGTAGTTCAGAAAATTTTCCCTAAACTGTGTTGTCACAGAATTCTCTCTCTGTTTCATATTTCAGAATATTAAAAAATATATATTTTTCCAACATAAAAAGTTTTAAATTAACTTATTTTGGCCAAGTCCAAAGAATTTTTCTATATCCAAATAAACTGTCAGTCTAGAGCTAATCTTGAGCTACTTCCATGAATAAAGGTGATTAGGTAGTGGCCATCTTGTCATGATGAAAGTTCCCAGACCACACTGCAAACTACATTTGAGCACACAGTACATTCTATCTGTATGTTCATATGTGAATCCAGGCTTAACATGTACTGTTTCATGATCCATGTTTGTTGATTATGTGACATCAAGTCAGTGTTGACTCTTAGCGACCACATAGAGATATATTCTCCATGATGATCTGTCCCTAATCTGGTCTTCCTATGGCATACCCATTGCCAATGTAACTGAGTCCATCCACCTTGCTGTTGGTCATCCTCTTTTCTTTTCTCCTCAGCCCCATTGAATAAGACTTAACTAACTTTTCTTTAATTTGTCTTGATTCATTATTTGTGCAAACTGGTATGTACATTCATTAATGAACGTTTGACCAAAGCTTAATGCAGTTAATCCAGAAACCATTACTTGAGTTGTTCCTATATTGCTTGGTTTATACTATTGTTTGATACCTTCTAATTTGTGGCCAGAAATTCCCTAAGGAGGAACTTGTAAAACAAACTATGTCTTTGTCATATTTAAATATTGCAGCCTCCAAAATCAACAAGCAATACAAAAATAATTCACAACCAATTGAATGATTATGTGCCATCAAGTTGGTGCTGATTCTTAGTGACCATGTAGATAGATTCAAAATCACAACCAAAGGACAGTAAATAATCAAGACCTCAATGGTACATAAAATATGCTGTAAGCTTAAAAGTCCAAAAGACAAACCCAGATTTTATGGGGAAAAGACTAAATTGTAAAATTATTTTTTTACATCTTTCTTGAAGCAAACTATGGCAGTTATGGCAAGGAAATTTCACAGCGCAGACATTATTACTGAAAATATCCAAGTGAGTTCCAGCCAGGCCTCCTTCCCAGCTGACATACAGAGGGCTCTCCAACAAAGATCATAGCTTCTGGGATAAGAACTATGCCTTGCCTAAGGTCGTGTACCTTGTCAGACTAATGTCTGCAATGAACAGGGGGTATTCTAAATGAAGATTAGTATTTTTTAATTCTGTCCCAGAAATGCCCCTCCATGCTACCTTTTCCCCTGTTTCATCCCTTCTTGGAGCAGGGGGGAACAATTCAAAATCTCAGGCAGAGCCGATTCCTGAGAAAAGCACTAGACAGCAACAGGCAAGTTTTTCCTCACTCTTGCCACCATTCCTGTATCAAATCTGTCCCCTCTGACCACTCATGAGAGAAAGGCGGCCTTTGCAAATCCTGTTTGTTTCAACAGATATTCTGTCCTAAGAAAGCAAGTCATGGCATCGACTTCAAAAGTAAAAGCATAAGCTTAACATATTTAAAAATATATTCATGACCCCTCATTCCATACACACCTATGAAACCTTTTGTCTGCATAAGTAAGATGTAACTGATTTGAATTCTCTTTAAAATAAGATTCCATTACTTAAGACTTTTCCTCACATAGACCTTTTTCCTCTTACTTCTCAAGAAGTCTTAGTTTTTAAAGTACGGATAATGAAGATTTTCCGCCTTTTTTTCCCACAGATGCACAAATTAATTCTTTTCTGATACTGTGTGAAGTGGAATTTAAAGATTAATTTAGAACTCGGAAGAAAAGAGTATATTCTGCGATACTTGATAAGATAATCCAGAGTATTAGATGAGTGTATTAAAAAGCAGCTCATTGCCTATGGTTTGGAATAAAAGACAGGTAATAGTATACAAAAGGTCACTCCTCTTTACTCATAGTTCTTTGAAAAAGGCGTAAGCCACTGAAGTGGTATCTATTCACTCGGCAAGCTATATAATAGCTTTTTTCCGACCAAGCACTATTTTCAAACGCCTCGTTTAAGTAATATTTGAAGTTTGTTCACTTCCATGCAAACACCTAAACATTGGAGAATGTGTATCTTATCCTATGCATTACTATTGATTTTTTCTCTTTTCTCTCAAGGGTCCTTACTTTCTGTTTCAAAGTCTATGCGAAAAGCAGAAGATAATATGCTGCTAAGTACATTCAGCCTTGGAAAGATAACACAGAATGGTGACAAAGCTGGAAAGTCTCCACCTGCATCTTCTTTTGAGCATTATAAAATAGAGGACAGCAGTGTTCTGGATGAAGACCGAAGCCCACATTTCTCGGTGAGTTTCCTCTGTTTAGCTAATGGTTAACACAAATTAGCATTATGGAGAATAAATTTGTAACAAAACGTTGGAATGGATGATTTCAGATATGCCAGTATATAATTGAAGTATGCAGTAAGATTTGAAGTGGCTACCATACTAAAATCAAGTCGACAGAATGCTGTGTTTTGAATTGTATTTGAAAGTATTAATATAGTATTATTGAACAACTATTTTCAGTCTTAAGCACATGAAATACATACCTTTCAGCCTTAGTTTAAAAACAAATCTTAATGTTGCTCTTACCTCAACATCATTAATGCTTACATTTACAAAGAAAAAAATTATCTTTAAGGAGACTTCGGCAGTTATCAATACATTAAGCCTAATTAAATAAATCAATGTTATTTAGTATTGACATCCATGGGATATATATTAGGATATGTCTTACTTTGAAAAAGCTTTGATTCTTGATTTTATGCTCAAAACTAAACTTCAAAATAGCTAAAGCTGTAATCAGAATATAACTGTTTTCTGAGAATAGCTCATTAGTGGGTTGAGGTCCAGAATATTTCTATTTTGGATACTTTGTATTATTTTCATCTATACTTTTTCTTTGGAGTGCAGAATATAGGTTATAAACATCATGTCAAAAACTACGGCCCACCACAGAGCCTAAGTGTTAAGAGGCTTCCTTATTTTGAACTGGAGGGACCTATGACTTTTCCATCAAATGCTGAGGTTGAAAATATTGAATCAATACAAGAAAGGAGTGAAACGGGAAGTGATGAAAACTCAGCTAACTTGCCTATCGGAAGAAGAGATTTTGATAGTAAGTTATATTTTCAGGTTATTGCAAAAAAGTAATACTATCTCAATTTGCTGAAATAATATAATAATAAGTGTTGAGATGAGTAATTATGGCTACTATTTCTCCAATGATACATAGAAGCAATCTAGGTAGAGCTCAAAGCAAATCCCTAAAACTCCTCATCTGGCTTCCTGATATGTGTGATCTGCATTGCTCCCTAGCTTTGGGTTCCTTTTTCACTTGCACGTTGTAGTTATTTGAGGCCCAAGAAGAGCCACATAACTAGCTCTCTGCTTTTGCTTTCCATCTGCCTCACCTCTCTGGAACATGCTGCCCACCGCTTTCTTCTGGGCAGTTGTCCCTAACCAATAATAGCAGATGAGGCCCACTTTAACCAATCAGCAATCCTCATGCTGCTGGGTCAGTTGTGGAAGCTGCAGGAGCCATCCAGCCAAAGGGAAAGAGAATATTTGGCAGTCTGATGTCTCCAGAGTTAGTTCCATTGTCCAGATTCCAGATATAAGAGTGTTTTCATCACTTTGCTTAGCAGGAGTGACCCAATCTCTTCTCCCTCCAGCTGCCTGTTTTAAGGTCTTTCTTCTTCATCTTTTTAAATCCATTCACACAAAAGGTAGTCAAGTTTCTCTACCAAACTGCTAAAGGGTGGAGAAAGATTTGGGGTGCCTTAGAAACCAGTCAGTTTTTAGCTCCAGCCTGCTCAGAAATAAACCAGTGTTCTGTTCACCCATGTACATTCAATTGCATCTCTATAAACATGTACACAGCTAAAACTATATTGAGTGTCATCTTTCTATTATTAAAGGATAAACAAAGCAATTATCAGAATGTACTTTTTAGAAAAAGAATCTTTTTTGTTTCTCAATCTTTAAAAGACTGTAGGTTCCACTCAATCTTTTAAAGAATGATTGGTAAGATGTAAGATACAAAAGCTACAGTGTTTTTAAAAGTTTATTAGAAAAATTGAATTAAAATTTCAAGTTAGTGAAAATTTACAATATGCCACTACAGATGACAATATATTTAAACTCAGTTTATAAAAATATGTACTTGACAGTTAAAAAAAACATTTTTGTGTGTGTGTTTTCTTTAGTGCTCAGATGTATGCTGGGAAGAGTCTATCGACCATGTTGGCAAGCCTAAAACACCCCTGAAGTGCATCACTTGGAAGAGATAAAACCTTCCTTGATAAGTCACAGAAACTGTAGTTGTGGTTAAAATATTGCTGTGTGTTTGTAAAGATTCTAAATATTTCTATGTCAGAACGCCACATGTTGACACAAGTGTAAAATTACAGTGCATTATTAAACTGAGAATTCCGCATACAACTTGATGATTTAATTGTGCAAGTACTATATATATAAAATTTTTGCATGATTGCAATGGGACCATTAATGTAGTCAGATTTTTGCCTTTTCAAGCCACTGACATTTACAGTCTAAAGAACTGAGTTAGTTTCGCTTGACCAGTAATAAGCTTATTTTTGGGTAAAGTCTTATTGGATTTTCTGGTTTCTTTTAGTTTGCTGTCCAAACTATTCTGGCATTTCACTGCAGTCTTTGGTTTCTTACTGTATATATGCTGTGGTGATTTATTTTCATTAGTGAATATGACATTTTCACTAGTTCTGTCCACCTGCTTCCTCTTTGAGTTCTTGTTCTTTGGCTGGCAACTTAATTTTCCTATTTCTTTTCTTGTCCTTCCATTCTGATGAACATTTCCAGAACTAGTTCCAAGTGTAGTATTTTCAAGTGATGAATGCAGGATTTCTGATGGTTAAGAAAACAAAACACATTTTATAAAGGAGAAAGGGTATACTATTATTTTAATTGTTTGTCTTGTACACTAGCCACCATTGTTATTTTTCAAAAGAGACTGTGTTCTTGTAAATTGAGTTAACTAATTCTAATTAGTAAAGATAGTCAGCTGAAATCAGTAGTATACAATCTGAGCCACTGTCTTTGAGATAGAAAAAACTTCAGCAACCACTTCAGAAAATAAACACATAAAGAAACAAGAGTACAAGAAACAGTTCATTTTAAAAGCATGTGCAAATTATTGTAAAACATGAATAGGGTTTTGATGGGGTGCCCAATCACCTAAGATATTGTGGTTTATTCTTGAGAAATCCCAAATGTACTTGAACAGCCATTTAGCTGGGCAAATACAAAAAGTCAATCTGGTAACCACATATGTGGTAGCAAATATTAATTAAGAGGAAAACAACAGCAAAGAGCCTTGGAACGTTCAAGATAAATGAACTGATAACTGCATTAGCTTCTATGATCATGGGAATTGCTACAGTATATTGATGTTCATTAAGTTCACATCCCAGATAGTTTTTGCAGCACTTTCAATGAGGTTTCAATTATTCATCTCTAAAAGCAAACATAGATGATGCCCTAAAACAGCAACAAACAATGTTATTTTCAAGTCTTAAAATTTGGTTGCTTCAATGTTTCGTGCTCTAGGTCAAGTAGTTGGATCTCCTAACAATCTGTATCAAAAACAGTGCTACTTTATGTGCTCACAGATGATCCTGTGTCAGGAAAGAACAGAGTGGTAAGACTTGTGAGTGACACAAGGACAAGTGGGCATACCTGGATCCAAAGTGGGCAAAGATGCTTCAGGACTGGCTGCATCTATCAGCTGCTTCTTAAAAGAGCAGCACCTTCCCTAAGCTTGCATGGTAGCCATAAGAGTTCAGGAAAATACACATTTGAGTTCAGGAGGCATTAAGGAGACACATAGTCACACTCTGTCACTGCCACAATTAAAACATTTTCCTGAGCCCACATGGCTACCATGCAAACTCTGCAAAAGTTAGAGCTCCAGTAAAAACAGCCAGTAGGTACAGTGAGGTCAACATGCCAGACTCCAAGTCTTTTTTCCTGTTTTGGACTCTAATATTAAACGCAAGTTACTCAAGACAGTAAAAACCAACATTAATGCAAAGAGGTCCAAAAAGATCTGTGAACACTGGATGAAAGGGGGGCCTAACAGAATATGTTATAATGTTAGAGATTAGGAGAAAAAAATCCTAATTTCATATACACACAGATGCAGCCTGAACTGGATTTAATAAAAAAGAAAGAGATATTGGATCATGATGAACAACACAATGATTTCCCTGGTTTGGAGAGAATGCAGAATTAACTGCAGATGGAGTCATTTACAGTATACTAAGAATATGCAGCTATTTGGATCTCTCTTGCATGTGCTTGCTGTTAAGGAAACTGAGGTTTGCTTGTTTTTTTTTGCATGACATCTACTTGATCCCAGAAAAATATGTTTGACTTCTGGAAGCAATGACAGGGAATTGTTCTCCTCATGACAAAGGGATCTCAAAATACTCCCCCCTCAAGCTCAGCACCCTTTCTCTCTGCCCTATCACAAAAAACAGGTTCCAGGTATGCCACATGTATTGGGCTGATTGAGAAAGCCCCGGGGTTTTCATAATGGCCATGAAGTCCTGAGATGGTCTTCTCAGCACAGACAAAAAAGTCTCACAGATCCATCAGCCTGGAATTCCCCAACACTACCTTGGATCTTGAAGAATGATTCATCAGAAATACTGTGTCCTGTCTCTGCCCCAACATCAGTTACATGACCTCAAAAGTGATGTTATATTGTGAGCTAACATACTGTAACAGCCAAAAAAATTATTTTCAGCCCTCCAATCTAGGTTGATACTTGATCAAACTCTCACCTGGTCCATCTATGTAAGAATTGGTAATAAACCCCAATGGCTTTCTCATCACTACAAGACTGGAAGGCAGATTGGTCAGGCAGCCTTAATCTTGAAAAATGAAGAGGAACCAAAACACAAAATAACTTTGAAGCATCTAACCAAAGTTCTCCTTAACTGACCACTATCTCCTGCAATGGCATACTTCCACCTGCCCCAGATTACTTCTTATTCTCTCTACTCTCACCCCAGGCCACATCTTGCCATCTTCTATTGCCAATAATTAGCTCTTGAAAGACAGCCAACCAATAAGCAAGCAACTCTTCAGCAGCAATCAAAACAAAATGTTCTGAGTGGCATGCCCTCTGCCTCGTGGTTTTGCTCTTTGCTATTCTTCCTTTAGAAATGATCCCACTGACAATGTCCTTGTCACTCCTGGACCGAAATCTTTTGTGTTTTTCCTGACCCTAACCGCTACAATTGTTGAAGGTCAGTGCACTTTTCCCAATAGCTAGAACGTAGTAAACCAAAGATCAGTCTAACTGCCCTCACAAGCATTGGTCCTCTTCTTCACAAGGATAGAGTTTTGTGCTGCAAAATGGCAGTAAAGATCTTCTAAACTTTCACTCAATCTCAGAACTATGGGTGATTTCGGAGCAATATTGTTCATCCTCATATTAACACTGTAAAGAAAGTTAAGCTGACAAAGAGGGGAGGACTGCCTACAGTTTTGGGAAAGCAGGGCTTTTTTTTATAAATGCAACAAAATAAATAAAATAACCAGGTAAGTTCCACGCTGACTACAAAGAGCTAACAGATTCAGAGGCAACATAACATTGAGTATCAACTGCAGGGAAGCAAATAGCAAGGAAAGATTACTGCCATCATGCCTTGCTTTGGACTTCCTAGGGCCAAATTACACATTGCAGGTGCTGAGATATGTCAAGTGGACCACTTCTACATTTGTACAGCAAGCAATTATTTCATTGATTTGGGAGCAGTTCATCTGACTGACAGCATACTCGTTCATTCATTCCATGCAGTCAGTAAGTGAGGAGGCAAAGAAGTAGCGTGGTATTGTTGACTGAATTTACCTGAAATTGATCTGTCATCAGTATAAGCTGCTGCTGTTTTTTGGAATGCTGGATATTGCACTGGAGTTGCATTGAGGTGTTGATCCTTTGCCTCAATTATTTGGTCATCTTTGTAAGTGCAAGCAAACTGAGATCTAATTAAAGGTTGCTTCAGCTAAAAAGGAAGTAGATTAATATGAATTATACAAGTGATGGGGACAGGATTTCTATCTCACTGTGATAGCAATAGCAAAGCCCTGGCATTTTTTTTTAGCTCACTTGCTTAAATAATTAATTGTATGCCTGCAATTTACTATATAATCTATTGTTTGTATTTCACATGAAAAAAATAACCAAATTACCATGTGTTTTAGAAAGCTGGAACCTTATCTGATTTTTGAAAGGACTCCTAACTTTATTAAAAGGAATCTTGTTTCCACTGTATGCAAACATACATAAATACAAATAAACATAGGCCAGGTATAGACTGTGTCCATACTGTACTAAGTCAAAGTTTCTTTAGTCAAGATTTACTGAATCAGCTACATTTGGCACAATATTTATAAACCACAATGGTTGCATTCACGTAACAGACAAACACAAATCCTTATTCACATGATGCAGTAGCTTAGTGTGATGTATGAGCAAAGTCACAGACAAAGGTCTCTTTCAGAAAGAACAGGTAGAGCCAAGAAGAAGAGGGGTCCAGAGACAAAGGGGAAAGTATTCATGCAAGGTGAACCATCTTTAACTGGTTGCTTTGTAAACCATTCTTGACTAAATTTAACAGGGGTTTAAATATATGTAAAAATATTTCAAATATATTTGTGCTATATTTTTGTTGTTGTTGCAACAAATATTGGGTCAACAATGGGTGAACATTAAAATAGCCTCTCATGCACCAGCAGTAAAGTAATTCACAAGTAATTCACATGTTCACAAAGAGGCTATATTACGGAGAAAGTTATCAAAGTAACTCAAAAATGGAATCTGAGCATTTCCAAACTGTTCTCTTACAGAACACAATCTTGTAGGAATATGGGAAAGGAAATTTCCCAGTTTATGTTTATTTCAAATCTAAAATCAGGGAGAAATAGTAGTAAAAGGAATGCATCTTGGCATACAGAAGCAAGCTTTTTTCCATTCACTGGCTTTGTTTTCCTAACGTCCCCCTGCAATATTGGGGATGGTGGGGAGATATAATCAGTGTAAGGGCAAATGCTGGCAAGCTCAGAAACAAAGGGATTGACACCAGACTGGTCTGTTAAATAAAAATGCAAAGATACCAATTACTTCTGCTGAGGAAAAAAAGACTCTGAAGCCATTACAATGTAAAGGCAGGAGAAAAAGATGTAGGATTTTATCTTGGGGCTGGCAGTATATAGGTCATGAATCCTATAGTTCGCAGTGCTGGTTTTCTTCCTTATTAAAAGCTTTTCTAGAATCTGAAAAAAAAAAGTATCTGCATCTTTAAATCTCTGACTGTGAGCCTTCTAGTAGGAGAGCATTAACAGCAATTATGCCCTGGCATCATTAACATCCCTTCTGGGCAATGGGCACATTTCCACCTAGAGCTGATCTATTCCTATTTTCTTAAAACAAACAGACAAACAAATCCAGAAAAATAGAACAGTAGTGTTAGCCTTGTGAGGTACACCAGACAGGAAGCATGGCCAGATGAGCTAATTCTACTTTATTGTAAGGTTACATTAATATAATCCTGCAAGTCTAAAAGTACACTTCTCCCCTGTCCCCTTAGAAGCCAGGGAGGGTCCTTTCTGAGCTGCTTACCCCGTCCACATTCCTGCTGAGGGCTAAGTTGCCTTTTATCTGCCTGTTCCCTTGACTGCATCTCTTATCCCTGTATTCTAAGGTCATTCCCACATGCCATTACAAGTAGTATGTCAGAATACATAAGCAACAAAGGTTAGATTTAAATAAGTGCTTCATCTTGGGGGGTGAGAAAGATTTATGGTTAGTCTACCTTAACTTTTTCACGTACTGCCATTTGAATCCGCTGCCTCAGAGCTTTGGGAGAAGTTCCACTGGACTGTGTTGGAGATCTGTATTAATATTTAAATAAAATGCAAGCAACAGTGGTAAGCATGAAACATGTAAGTTTCTAGCCTTATATTATATGCATTTATAGATTTAGAATACTTGTTAAATACATTAAATGAAGTACATGACCACAACTCCTACAAAGCAAAACCAACCAAGAATTCTGAAATTCAGAATCTATTGTCTGTGTGGTGTTTAATCCATTTTTGAGAAAGAAGCCAGTTAATTTAGACAGGGATTCCCACTATAAAATGAAAGCTTCCGTAGCCATAAATTTCATGACAAAATACTGAGAACAGAATTTTGACAGATAGCATTCCAAGGTGTTTAACCTCTATATTTGCATAGGAGTTCCTACACCTGCTTGTGAGAGCTTGATTGGGTCAACTAAAAATTAGAAAACTAGGTGTTCTTCCTTTATTTCACTTTTTATGCTGTTCACAATTCTAATCTTTCTCCCCTTTTCTGCTACTGAATTTATGCCTTAGTTAAGACATTCACTTGGCATGTTTATGCCAAAGTGTTCAGTAAGGAAGTATCGGTAACATTATAACTTTTCACCTAGAACCATCTATCCAGCTCTTAGTAATGTAAGACTAATTTTGTTAGGTAATTATTATTAACATTCTGGTTGCATTTTGAGGTCTTGAGTATTTCATCCAATTTTCTTTTGCAATAGCCATAAATTTCATGACAAAATACTGAGAACAGAATTTTGACAGACAGCATTCCAAAAAGCTGATATTTCTGATGCAGAATAACTTACTATGCATTCTAAAAGTTGCAGACCTCTGGATGCATTCTGGCCCTCTGTAAACTATTAATTCTGACAAATGCAATTTCCCCCCAATCTTTGGCAGCTACTAAGCAAAGCAAAAAAAAGGGGGAGGGAGGGGGAAATGGAGAAATCAGAAAGAGACTGAAAGCATGCTGAGCATGGCTTGTACAATTCTTTCCAACTTCTTAATAGCAGCTCTGCTCTGGTCATTGACTGAGAGGGAAGAAAGAGGGCTTAGAATTGAGTTAGCAACATTCCAAGAGGACACCCAACTTCCTTTCCCATATGGATGCACTGGGGAAATTTTCAAGATTTTCACCCCATAACCTCCACCCTTGTTTTTTTCCCTCACACCAAATTTGGTCCTATACTGTTCTGTTTTCAGAAAGTTATCATGCTTAGTGACTGTTAGACATAATTCCAAACCTTCTAATATCATTCTTTCAAACATTCCACTGGGCTGGATAGAATAAACAAGGTAGGGAGCCAGAACATAGCTTCCGGAATTTTTTTCCAACTGCTTTATCAACAATGGTCACAGAGGACGTCTATATTTTCAGCAACACATTGCAACTGTGCGTGTGTGCTTCTGCTCCCCAGTTGTCTTGTGTCTGGGTTTGTGCACACTGGGAAACACAGAGTGGGTGGCATATATTCCACTCTGGGTCATGTGACTGGAAGGAAAAAAAGGGGGGCTTAGAATGAAGCAGTTACCAACATTCCAAGCCCCTTGTCAGTCATCTCTTTCATAGGGATGCATTGGGGTATTTTTTCAGGACATTTTCCCCCCAAATCCAGTAGCCAGATTTGGCCCTTTTTCAAGCTCAGCATTTCTTTTGCTGGCTTTTCCTCAGACACCAAATTTTTGGTGCTCAGTTTTTGGGGAGTTATCCTGCTGATAGACGGGCAGAAAGTATCCCAATGCACAACACACTTTACATAATTTCTTTTTAATATTCTAAAGGGTTGGAAATAATAAAAAGGAGTAGTAGAAAGAGACAATGAAAAACTGGAATTGCTCACTTTGGGTTCTGGTTCTTATCATTCATGATCATCATGCAGCTTCCAGCATATTTTCCAGAAGAACATAGTTTTTAACAAAACAAAGGTTGAATCTGCCTCAGATTTCATCATCATCATTATCCTTAGAACTTACTTGAACAATAACATGGTAGAAGGAAATCCAAGTTCTTCACCAAACAACAAGAAAGCTTTGTTGCTGAAAGGGGGATGACTAGCTGCTTCGTCTAAAACAGCCAATAAGGACTTCACAGTATCTCTGCCACAGTAAACAGTGTCATGGTTTATTGAATGTAGTTTTGGCTAAAATTAAAATGATAACTTTATTAGCTATAATATATAACTATATTAGCTATATTAGAGCACACTGAAGGACTTTGATCATAGAATTTGTATTATCGTATCTTCCAATCTAAGCTTCCTAATCACAATTGCTTGATACAGATTTTCTCTTAAAGCCTGAATTGAAATATATATGACAACATATTAACAAAAAAATACATTTTTATTCATATCTGTTTTGGGTTTTTTTTTAATAGTATGCATATTTCTGGAGAAAACTGACCATCAGAGTAAATTCATCTGATACAATTTCCTCATGGCAGAAATCTTCATGAATCAGCCGGCTCTGAATAATTCAAGGCGTGATGTATACAAATAGGATACAACAAACAGTAAGGTACACAGACTGATGTTTATGCAGGCAAGGTGCATGAAACTGCCATGAGACTCAAGCAAGGCAATAAAATTTTCCCTAGGAACAGTTAGCCAATTTGATCAGGGAGGAATCAGGAGATACATCATTAACATAAGATAGAGAAATAAAAATAAAAATAAATACTGCCAAGAAGTATTTGGCTGGAGGGTAGGAAGAGAGAGAAGAATATTTCAAAGATTAAACTAATTATCAGCACTGCAGGTAGTCCTGGGGTTAAGAACGCCCAGTTTACAGATGACCATGGTTAAGAACTGAGCCTATTGTAGCAAAATTCGAATTAAATACACAATGGTTTGAGTTAATTACACAATATTACTTATACAGTATTATACAATAATGCTGTTCTGGCTTACATACAAATTCGACTTAATGACAGACCTTGGGAACGGAACTCGTTCTTAAACCAGGGACTACCTGTACATTAAAGGAGAAAGCTTTTTCTTCTTGCAGAAAATATTTGCCCAGTTAAAATAAGACCATTTTAATACAGTAGACATTACCATTTCCAAGGTTGTTCAAAGCAACTATTTTCTTCAACTAAATAAACAGGAAATAATCAGGGCACTTAGGGAAGCATCTCTCTTATATCAAGCAATTTAGAAGAACAAAAGGAGGCCCCTTACTCGGACTGGACTGATTCCAGTATTGCTAGCTGCCACAGCCTCATGCTGAAAATTGATAATATTTTTAATCCTCAAATCCAAATCTTGTACAACTTCCTCTGCTGCTTGACAGAAAGGATCCCTGCTGTTTCGGCCTTTTATCAACTGCATCTTGATTGTTGATAGAATTCGGCCCCCTGCATGTCTAAAAAACAGACCTAGGGTCATTTCCATATTCATTTTGGCACTTCTTAAGATATTTAATAATTTGAAAACAGAGAATATTCAGAGTTAATCAAAATTGCTCAGCAAACAGCTTTGATCTGTTAAGTTGCACAGCTTCTTGCAATGAGATCTTGCCTTTTAATGAAATCATTTGGTGTTATGAATTGGGAGATTACAAGAATGAAGAAGCAAGGACAATAGACTCATACTTCACTAATGCATTGTTTAAACAGCAAAGGAAAATAGCCTGTTAGAGGGGGGAAAAGGTTTTAATTACATTATCATAGATTAGTTCGCATTATCCAAATCCTGCTTAACCATTAACAATTTGAAATCATCTACCTTGCTATATATAACATTTGTTTCCCATCTATTTAGGAGTACATTAACTTATGAAGAGTGTTTTCATGAAGACTGATAAACTGTGTTTTTAGACAGAATTTGAAGCACCTTAATAATGCAGGATGGAAAGAAAATTTTTCTAACTAAATAATTACCTTCATAACATAAAATGCATGCTCGTAAAGATACTAAGTCAGTTTCCAACATTATATTGCACACTACTATAACCAGGAAATACAAATCCAGTTGAAGATATAGAAATAGGAGCAAGTTTGACTTTAAATTGGAGTAATTAAAGCAAAGAGGTTTCATCTCCTTTCAATATACTTCTTTGAAGTTAGATAGTACATGGATATAAAATGAAAACAAAAGCCAACTCTCCTCTCCCACTTGTTGAAGGTGACAGGCTTTTGGCTAGCACATTAGGAATTAGCTATGTATTCTGAAAGCTTATTTCCACATTTTGGAAGTCTTCCTGTCATTAGTCTAAGTTTCATCAAGTGAGTATAAAGATAGAAACCCTTCAACATGTTAATATTTTATCCCATTTGTAACTTTTCTTATGATGAAGATTTGAATATAAGATATAAAATTGTCCCAATTTCTGTATCCTACAGTAGTTCTTTGAAAGTAGGTATGTACACATTTTGGACTCTCAACCTATGTGGAAACCACCTTATAACCTTCATGTTGTCTGTTTCAAATGAGAGTTGTTACAGACCTGTTTATCAGACTTTCTTGGAGGGTACCAAATGTGTACTCACTGTTTCAAGATCCCTAAGACTTCATTCTCATCTAGCTGTATGTACTGTAAAGATGATGAGGTAGTGTACTTAGTCTCTTCAATGTTTTTTATCTAGTACTATATAGATTTTTGTAGACTGTGAATTCCTTAAGGAACATTATGATGAATGTGGAACATCCCCCCAGGCAAGTTCTATTATCAACCTTTTCAGGTGGGGCGCCAATAATTTTAAATGGCTGCTTATCACTTTATCATGGGTATGCTTCTCCAGGTAAGCTAAAAGCTAAGCTAAAAGCTTATCTTGGTAATCACAGAAAATATGATCATCAAATTTGCAGATGTCACAAAGATGGGCAGCAAACACCACAGAGAACAGTATCAAGATTTAGGAGGATCTGAAAGCTGGAACAATGGGCAGAAATCAACAAAATGAATTTCAACAGCAACAAATGCAAAGTCCTACAGTATGGTAGGAGAAATCAACAGCATAAATATATGATAGGAGGGGCCATACTGAGCAGCAATATGTGCCCAAAAGATCTGGGTGTCTTGGTGAATCGCAATCACAAGCTGAACATAAGCCACAATGTGCTGTAGCTGAAACCAACCAAGGAACCAATCAATCAACCAACACACTCATAGACTGCATCAACAGAATTATACAAATAGTCCTTGCTTACTGACCATTCATTCAGTGACCATCTGAACTTACGATGGTGCTGAAAAAATAAGTTTACAGCCCGTTTATGACCATTTATGCCCTTCACAGCATCCCTCAGTCATGTGATCACCACTACAGACAGTACGGATTATCCTATGCCTGACCTGTGGTTTCTTTTTTCTCCCCCTTGTAGAGCAGATTGATTGGAAAGGGATTGCAAAATAAGCTGTTTGCTCTTCTACATATCGAAAGCAATGTGATCGTGCCAGCAGTGGGAAAGGGTTAGGCAAAGGAGACATTGCCTACAGAAATCACTTTTTTTCTCCCCACCCTCACACAGTGTAGAGTGGAGAGAAAGATTTCAAGAGAGTACTATAAGCTGTTTGCATAGTGCGTCTGCGGCTCCCAGCCCCAGGCTGTGACGTGATTGCATTGCTTTCAATGTGTACAAGACAGTAAGCAGGCACTCAAGCATTCCAAAGAGCTAGCATTCTGAAAAGGGGACTGACACCCAGGGTTTATAGGGAGCATCCTTCAGAAATAGATCCAGATAGCATTCTGGTTAATCCGTGCTTTGTTAACTCATTGTGTTCTTTAGGGTAGCTCTTTTGCGTATGGACAAACCCACCAACTGCCATTTAGCAAGGGCACCCACTGTATTTTTTCTAGATTCCAAACTATGGCGACCAAGCCAAAAAGAATGGGGAACCCTGATATTCAAAGTAGAAGTCTTTTACTGAGTACCTTTTAATGATTGTTTTTGCACCACATAATCCAGTAAAGCCAAGATTTGACATCCTTGCCTTGAACTAATATTCCTGCTGTGAGCAGTTAATGTCTCAATTCTTATTTAATCTTTCTTCCCACATTCTTCATTTCCAAGAAAAAAGTTCCCATTCTCCATCAGATATACATAACTCTAGCTGGAGCAAAGAAAGGAAAACTTCATTCACTTTTTATATGAAGAAGCCAAGATAAAGTGCTGATCTACTATGTGAGGGATTAGTTTAGGACATCATGCCATGTCTTACTTCATTTTGCATTAAGGTATGCTATTAACAGGCTATCCTTCTAATATAGACCTACCTATGTTTGCTAAATCCTACCAAGCTCAGCAGGATTTGCTCCCAAGTAAGTATGCATTATACCATGGCTGGAGACTGCTTTTATTAAGTGTTGAAATACTTTATCCAGTGTATTAAATGTGCTGCTTGTACATTACATGAATGATTTAATCTGAAAAAAAGATTCCAAGGAATTAACATTTGGGATTTTTTTTCAATTCTTCCTCTCATCTGTGCCATTTAAAGTTAAAATGCAAGTATTAGAGGAGAATGCTCCAAAATGGTATTTATGTTTCTGATCCAGCTTTGGATGGGAATGATATATAGGAGCAACTCAATCCAGTTGTTCAGAGTTCCAACCTGAGTAGCTATTATCCATCAAAGCAGGAAATAACCAAGTGTGGCATTTCACCACTCAATTCAAGAGAGGGAAAAGAAAACTTGTACTAGGAATACATTATTTAACAGGGATGTGACAAGATTTCCCAGACAAACAAAACAGTCTAATATTTGGAGTCATTTAGTTGTTTTCCCCTTATTTGTACCAACCCTACAAAATTTTTCTTTTGTCTTGAGTTAAAAATGGCAATTGTATGTTTATTATAGTCAAAAGTTAAAGTAAACATTAGTAAAATAAAGAGGGATTCAGGAGAAATTCTGTAATGGCCTTGCAGAAGGGAAAAGTGAAAATAATCCAGTTTTTGAAGAATACAAATGCTCACTTGCCTGTGGCGCACACATTTATGTGTTTGAGAGAAAAGTAATAATTCTGTATATCAGTAGAGGTGAATATGTGTAGCTCAGGGTTGAACTGTGGAGTCCTTGGGGTTCTCT